TATGTTTCAAGTGCCTTGTGTAAATTGCTCTCTTTTAAAAGAGTGCAAAAGGGGGAATTGTGGAAATGTATGAAGAGTATTATGCAGAAGATATGATGCAGCATATCTTTGGTATATTCATTTTAATCTCACCAATATATAAGAGGTGTATTGCATCATGTTATCCCTAATATATGTGTGGGTATATACATTCCTGTGTGTTAATAGTTGAAGGAACAAAATACATTGTTCCTCTTAAATATAGAGGTTTTTTATAGATTGCTGAAACAATGTTCCCTTTTCTTAAAAGTAGATTAGCGCAATAGTCTTTTTCTTTCACTTTTACCCTTTTTATCAAAGGGGTGCTTTAGGCTATTTTTGAGGGGTAAAATGCAGAATTACTTGTGAATTCTGTTTTGAGTGTTTTTCTTGGTTAACCATTAGATATAATGGCTAAATTATTCTTAAGTTAATGATGCGCATCCTGCAGGCCTTGAGAATTGAGTCACACAGTTAAGAGAGACAATGGTCCTTCTAAATTCTGGGTAAGCTGACTCCGGGTGGATGGAAGTTCAGAGATGGCTGGGGGGTATGAAGACAGTTAGGCGTTGTTGCTGGTTCTGAGGATGTCATGGGATGATGACTGTTACATTTCCAACAAGTATGGCTTTCATAAAGAAACACATGACTTAGGTGATAAGATGTGTTTTGTTGCAAAGTGAGCCTGTTTGGTTTTCTGCTGGCCAGCGCTGAGTCACTGTGACAAAGCATATTTTGCGTCTCCCAATGAGATGACCTGAAAAGATGACCAGCTGACCCAACTCCTCCTGTTTTATTCTTATATGTAAGCCTGTTCGGCCTTGTGTTCGCTCTCTCTTCTCGTGCTGTCAGGACCGAAAGGATCTCCGCAGCATGCGAACCAGGGCAGGAGTGGGCCGGCATACTCCTTACACATTACAATATAATTATTGTATTGTAATGTATTATATTGCATTGCATTATTACCTTTGATAATTAAAACAGATTATTGTTTAAACTGGTATCTGGGTGTTCTCTGATTTCCTTCCTGTTATGATTTTAAGCAGGACTCGTCAAAACGACACGCGGAGCAGAGTGGGGTTGTAAAAACCTCAAAACTCCTACAACACACACACACACCATGCGTTTTGAAGACTAATACATCCGAAATGGATGAACAGCAGCCCAGTTTCCCAGCTTTGCAGTCTATCCACGGGTAGCCTCTTGTTTCCTCTGCCACATGTCCTCCGTCCATACCTCTGGGAAAGGTGAGCTTGAGGTAGCCAGGGGAACGTTGCTAGCGCAGCTAACGTGCACGTTAGCTAGCATTATCCACGTCTTTAGGCGGCTCTTCTGATGATGTAGTACTAGTAGCAGCTTCACTTGTAGCTTCAGTGCTGCTAGCTTCTTTCTTCTTGTGAATTATATTCTTTTTAGAAAAGAAGTCAAGTCAAAAACGTTTTCCTTCCATTATAGAGCTTTTTCGTTAGCGTTCTTGAGGGAAAGAGCTGCCGCAAAATCGGCGGGCGGTGAGCTGGCCGTGGGTGTGTCACTGACACACCCCCAGCTCGCTGCGGGGTCACCAGCGTGATGACGAATCATCATTTTTGAAGGAAATCGTTTTTATTTGTTATTATAGGCCATTACTGTGAAATGTATTATGTTTTTGTCATTATTACAACAAATACACACTTGCAACTGATAAGACTGGCAATGATTTTATATTTATTAGACTATTAAAAAAAAGATCATGCTCCAAATAAGTGGGGGTACAGCGTACTCCCGCGTCCAACGCCCACTACACCACTGGTGTTCACTATAAGTACAAAATATGTTTTGGACGGACACTATAATTTACAGTTTTTTACTATGTTCAATCTGAATTTTCTTTAAAATAAAAAACATCTATATTGATTCTGACTTTTCTACATCCAACTCACAGGTTTATCATTACTTTGAGAAAAAAGATTATTAATTTAACCCTTTTAGAAGGGAAGATATGGTCATTTGTTCTGGGCATGTCATTTTCGAGCCTGAGACCTGAAAAACAGGCTCAGGGCTTAAGAGGTTAAAAGATTTGGGTACGGAGGAAAAGAGAGAGGGTTGTATTTTCTGACGCTGCGTGAGTTCCCCGACGCACCGGGGACACATATTTATGTATAAAAGACATCACAAAGTGCATTTTGCATGATAGGTTCCCTTTAAGAAGTAACAATGCAGTGAGATATAGGGTCTTGTTTTTAGACAATTCATATTAAGGTTCTTGGTAAGTCAAGAAGTAGTTTTTGACATATCACAGGGTGTTTAAGCTGCTCTGTTATTTGTAGAAGATGGATAATGTTCTTTCAATAAATAAAAAAAAAAACACCTTTTTATTGGAAAATCACCAACTAACATCAGAAAACAGATATGTGTGGCTTCTTTGGTACAACATCTCCTGATCCTGGTCAAATATAGTACAAAATAAGTTTCCCCAGCTGATAATAAGATCTAATTTCTCTAAATATCCCATCTTATTTCAAGAAATCTTACCAGGCACATTTCCACTTGTTCTATTTGCATATTTATTTTACCAATTACAAGGAAAACACCTTGTTTTCATAGTTGTTTTACTTGATTTTGGAGCAGCATTGTTTCCAGTGTCGACAAGTGGTGAACAAGATAGTGTTTCCAGATATCCAAACAAATGTATGTGCAAGTAAATTGACTAAATACCGTGAGGTCACAGAAAACAAGATGAAAACACGTCGTTGACATTATTACCACCTTAGATAGGTGTTATAATGAACATGTTAGCAAACAGTGTCTTAAATGCAGACACAGAACAACATTAGTATGTGTTTGGAGTAGTTTGATTTATGCTCTTTTCTTTTAGCTTTAGAGTTGAACTCTGTATTCCTGCTGGTTGTAAACCATTTAAATAACAAAGAAAATCATGAAATATTAATTTATGTTATGGATAATATGTTAGGACACAGGTAGTTCTAGTCGACTAAAGTGTTGTTTACTTTCCGGCAGTGTTTCCGCAAGACCATGGCTGAGGGGGGGGGGGGTGTGAGACGTCACGTCGTGTCACGTGACTTAAATTTTGAATTGAGCCGTCCCTTAAGTTATAGATACTATCTCTTTACATATTGGTGATGGGAATTCCGGCTCATTTGGCTCCGCTCACTAAGAAGAGCCGGCTCTTTCGGCTCCTAAACGGCTCTTCATTTTACCACAGTTTACCACGGAGCCTTAGTTTCGCTGCTGCGAGCCTCCGGCACTCGCAGTTCACTCGTGTGGTCCACTGGCACCCCCCGCTAAGGCTCGCCGGCAGTACACTTTCCGTCACAGGAACATGCTTTGCTGGTGGCGAAAATAATCCCACCAGACTCCTTTGCCCCTCCAACAGAGGGATGTCCTTGTCCCTTTTCGTCATTTTAAGCTATAAAAACTCGATCTTCTCTCTAAAAATGTTGGACGCCCTCGGCTCGAGTTCAGGATGTTCCGAGCTGAATAAGAGCGTCAAATGACGGCAAGACGCCCCCCTGGCGGAAACGCTGCTCTCCGGGGCATCTAGGGCTATCTCTTCACTGCAAGGCTGAAGTTTGTTGTTATTACTAACCTCAATACATATTAAAATCCCACGCTTCAACTCAAAGAATGGTTGAGAAACAAGCATCCGTGCAATCACCGCTAAATGCACTTTAATACAGGGCCAGCGTATCTCCTCTCGCACTTTATGTATCTCTTGTATCTTCTCTTGCACTTTATATGTCGTTGCTGCTATATTGTATTACCATGTCATAAATACTCGTGTATGCTGCTCTTGCTCTTTTGCACTTTTTGCATATCATGTATTTGATTTTGCTATGTTTGTAAAATGTCATTTTCTTAAATGTTTTATGTGAGGGACTACGGATGGAAATTAGCTCATAGCTAAATCTGGCATATTTACGCTTGACACATTTTATTGTTTTAACCCTTGTTATGTTCACATTTCGCACCCTTTGGTAATGTTCGGGTCAAATTGACCCGGGACATATTTCAGGGTTTAAAAAAAATACAGAACTAAATTCAACATGCACAATTCCTTATATATATTGTCTTTAACTCATTCCCCAACAACATAAATGAAATATATGATGAGTTTTTGAAAATACTCTTTGCTAGATCAAATGTAACAATCGACGTGTCCATCGTTTTTTGTGAAAACAATGTAATTTATGTTGAAAAAAATACACTGTAATAAAAACTAGGTTTACATTTTGCTCATGCTTTTCTAGGACAAATATAAATGAAACATTTTTTCATTAATGTTTATTATTTTTAATCTGTCATATAATAATCAAAGCCCTGAAGGAAATAAAGCAATTTAGCAGCAATTGAAACACAAGAACCACACATCCAAAAGTATTTGGCTGTGAAATATAGAGAGATGATGAAACATCCATATAAATGACAGAACAGATATAAACACAAAGCAAATAAAAACAATTAACAGTCACTATTCATAAAATACAGTATATCCGAAAACTATATTGATGAAGTGACGCTGCAGAACATCATGTGAGTCAATGGGCAAGTCCCTTTAGGAAACACATGATGTGCAGAACTTCTTCGTGTGTATAGCACAGATGTACTTGTTGCAGTTGCTGCAAGTAGTCTGTGTCTTGGAGTCCTTTGAGAGTCCGCAGACCTCACAGCGCTTCCTTTTGCCGACACAGGGTGCAATCTAGAACAGTAACATATGTATTGGTTCAGAAATTGTTTTCACCACATCTCTTAACACTGGACCTGGACACACACACACACACACACACACACACACACACACACACACACACACACACACACACACACACACACACACACACACACACACACACACACACACACACACACACACACACACACACACACACACACACACACACACACACCACACACACACACACACACACACACACACAGTGTGTCATGTCTCGCCAGCGGAGGACCCAGAACTCGAGGTGGTGGATATGGAGGAGCACGATGAGGGAGTGCCCTTCGTGTTCGCCATGCCAGCGGACCAGACGGGCCCGCTCGTCGGGGAGAGGCACCACGACGACGACACCTCGTTGTCTGATACTTCCGGCTATGGTGGCGGAGCGCGTAGGCTTACCGCTCCCCCACCGCTGCCACTGAGGCCGGTGAGCCACCTACGTCAGGGCTTCTACGGCCCGGCCCTGAAGGACGCTTACTTTCATGTCGAGATTGCTCCAAAACACAGAAAGTATTTGCGTTTTGCCTTCCAGGGTGTAGCCTGTGAGTACAACAGACTGCCTTTCGGCTACTCCCTATCCCCACGCACGTTCAGCAAATGTTTGGCCACAGTGCTCCAGCCGCTGCGCGCCCATGGCATGAGAGTTTTCTTTTATCTGGACAACCTCATAGTCATGGCCAGGTCCAGGGAACGGGCAATGTTTTGCACAGCCCAATTGATCCTGCACCTAACCAAGTTGGGCTTTGCGATCAATACACACACACACACACACACACACACACACACACACACACACACACACACACACACACACACACACACACACACACACACACACACACACACACACACACACACACACACACACACACACACACACACACACACACACACACACACACACACACACACACACACACACACACACACACACACACACACACACAATGCTGGCAGTGGCTTTGACAGGTGATGACTATAAGAAAGAATGTGGGCCATACTCTAGTTGTGTCAAAGTGATGTGTGTGAAGTGAAACATCACTCAAACCATGTTCATCCCTGTTTCTACTAAGATCATAGCTATGTCTTGCCTGCTTCTCCTACTGCTCTTAAGGCCAGACTCAATGAAGCTTTAGCAAGAGTGGAGAGTCTCGAGCGAGAGAGGAAGAATACCATGGCTAGAGAAAAGAGGGCAAAGACCACAGTGAGGAGTCTTTTGGGGGATTTGAGGGAAAAGAACCTCATTAATGAAGAACTTAAAGAGAGGCTTGATTTCTACTCAGGTAAAATGAAATTAGCACTTTGAAATTCATGTACATCTTACACTCTTTATTAAACTCCTTTGTTATTATATGAAGGGGACTTATTACTTTTTTCTCATACAATTTCAGATCTTCAAATAGACTTCAAGGCAAAGCAGGGCCATGAGTACTCAAAGGACCACAGAGAGTTTGCCCTCACACTCCATCTACATGGTCCAAAGACATACAAATACCTCAGAGAGACTACAAATCTTCCCCTCCCTTATCCACATACATTACAAAGGTAGTCTTAATGTTGTTCAATTTCATTTTTGGAAATTACGGTTGCAAATACGTTAAATAGCTACTTCTCCATTTGTTTACAGGTGGCTGTGTTCGGTGGATGGCAAGCCTGGCCTGAACAAGATGATGCTGGATATGCTGGAGAGAAGATGCCAGGAAGACCAGGCTAAATATGGATGTGTTGCACTCATGTTGGATGCCATGGCCATCAGAAAACATGTGCAATATAATCCACATAACCAGTCAATGTCTGGTTTTGTAGACATGGGTGATGGAAACAATGAGACCGATGTTGCTACTGAGGCTCTTGTGTTACTTCAGGCACTGCAGGTTGTGGTTGTGTTGGCCGTGCAGGTGTAGCAGCAAGAGTTGCCACCATCTTCCTCAATATAGCAACAGAGGCTGGGTTCCTGGCATGTGTTGTCTTCGCTGCATGTGAGGTGTCACCAGTGCCTTGCCAAGCTCCTCCAGAAAAATGCGTCTTATTTGGAGCTTCTTTTGGTTCCATTTTGGGTTTATTGCCATCCAAAGTGCAAAGGCATTGCAAGCAGAGACATCCAGGATGTTGTAGAATATCACAAGTGGCCACCTCAAGGTCCTTCTTTGGCAGCTGTAGCAGGACAGCAGCTTGTCCAAGTTATCTACTCCTCCTTTGGTGGCATTGTAATCAAGTATTATATCTGACTTACGGTCCTCACGGCCACTGATCTTTGCATCTCTGTGTAACGTGCTCCTGAGAATGACATTTCTGCCCTTGTTTGGTATGTAGGATACCAGGGCAGTGTTGTCTGTGAACACAAAGTCAGAGGAATGTACTGGCCTTTTCTTCACCATTAGAAGATGAGGGGGAAGCTTTGTCTTGTTTTTTCGTACTGTTCCAATCATTGTGACTTTTCTTCTGAGAAGTTCTTGTCCCAGGCTGTACGATGTGAAAAAATTATCGCAGGTGACATTGTGGCCACTGAGACCCTGCACCATGTCAAGCACCTCTCTTGCCCCCTGGTTTTTCTCAGGCACTCCTCCCTCTGGCTTCCCTGTATACATTTGCACATCCATGCATAGGATGATACAGCATCGCAGGCAGCCCAGATTTGTATTCCATACCTTGCTGGCTTGGAGGGAATGTACTGCCTGAAAGGGCAGCGGCCTCTAAACCCCACAAGCCGTTCATCCACAGTAACATTTGGCCCAGGGTTGTAGAGAGATGGAAGCCGCTGCACCCACTCGTCCCACACTGTGCGGATTGCTGTCAACTTGTCCCTCCATCGTCTAGCAGATCTGGTCTCCCTGTCATCAAACCTGACGATCCTTGAAAAAATATGAAAAGACATTGTTGCCCTGAAAATGGCTTTCCCTGTTTCAGCATCCCACAGACTCTCAGTGGACTCCCCTCTTGACCTATACACAGGGGTGCACATAACTTTCTCAGTGAGGTACTCAGATGAGCACCTGGAGTCAGTGTTTGGTACTCCAACTTCTGGCTCCACTCAAAGTTATTTGATGAAGCCCTCTGTATCGCGAACTTCAACGGGGGAGCCCCCCTCCCCCATTGACGTTCGCGATACAGAGGGCTTCATCAAATAACTTTGAGTGGAGCCTAGTGGAGTGGGGGCTAGTGGAGTACTTCAGGAAAGTCGACGGGGGGGGGCTAGTGGAATACTCCGTGGCCACAGAGCGTGACCGTTTTGATCAGCTGTTTTAGCGCAGTTCTCCAGTGAAGGGGGGGAGTATCCCTCCGCAGCCGGTTGGCGTAGTTTTGGCACAATTCCGTTGTACAGACCGATGTTAACAGCAGCCCTGTCTGTGCACACGGAGACCGACTCTGTCGTCCGGTGATCTAACCGCCTTCTGGAAAAGCTTCACAAGTACGTCGGTACGCAAATGCGCTTTGTGACACAAGTGACGGTACACATTTCAGATTGTTGCCGCGCATGCGTACCTGCGTACCAGTTATGTGCACCCCTGCCTATACACACCTGCAAGAATAAGGATGTTTGCATGCACATGTGTAATATCCAACTCTTTCCATTCCTTCCCAAAAACCCGTCTCCCCTCAAGATTGGTCATGTCCAATATGATGTTTTGTATTGAGTCTGGCATCAAAATCATCTATGATGACTTGATGTCATGAACATGCGTCACTGCCATTCGTGTCGGCCCGGGTACCATCCTTATTATATTTGCAGACAAGCGAGTGGGCTCACTTATTGGGGATGAACACCATTCAATCCTGCCGTTCTTTGACATGTATGTCTTCACCTCTTCTCCTACTGTGGCTGGCTGTGGGGGTCTTCTTGCGGCTGGCTGTGGGGGTCTTTCAGCAGCTGGCTCTGAGTCAAGTTCATCTTCCAATTCGCTGTAAAATTCTGAGTTTACCTCCACATTATCCTCATCTTCAGAAATGTCTTCCTGTTCCACTTCACCGTGTTCTTCTAATGCATTCCACTCACTCTCATCCATTATTAGCTCCAAGGCTCTGAGCAGAATATCTTTTGGCCATTTTTCTGGTAGATAATTGTAGTTCTGCACTACAATGTAATGTGAGCTTATGTCTCTGTTTAGTCCCTCCTCCGGCGTGCAGGTGCGAGGGGATCAGTGCGAGCAAATGTAAAATGTTTATACATTTCTGGAAGATCTAAAATGTTTATAATGTTCTAGGATAGTTTTGTGTACACACTACTAAGATCAAGGGAAAACAGGTTCTCACAGCTTCTCTATGCATACAATTGTGTGTGTGTGTCTTTAGTTTGAGTGTTTCTGTGTTTTTTTCTCTGTCTGTGTGTGGTATTGTATTGTCAGATTGACCCGAACCTCTTATGAAGGACATAAATGCGGGTTGACATTTTTTCACAAGTCGAAAAAAATAAAAACAATTCCACACACAATAAATAAGCCCCGGCCATTGAGTTTCAGGTCGAATGAAAATATCCTTATATTTATTATTATTCATTGAAAATGGAAATCGGGTACATTTGACCCGAACACCACATGTATAGATTAGTGGTGCACGATAATTATCGGCCCGATAATTATCGGTCCGATAATAGGAATTATGACGTCATCCCCATAAACCCGATAAAAGTATTAATAGCCCCGATAATATACAATATATTTTTTGGGTAAAAAAAAGGAAAAAAATACTGCGGTGTGGGTGGATTGGGATGAGGGGCGCTTGTTTTTCACTCGGCTCCTCCCGTTTTGCCAGTACTGTGGTATTAGTGGTTTAGGAAGAGGGGAGTTCTTCACAAATCCAGCGCTCCCTAACTCATGCCTGGCTGTGACGTAAATGGTGTGCGGCCGTGAAGCCAGGACAGTAAACAAACATGTCGTCGGTAGTATGGGACTATTTCAAAGTTTCAGAGTTAGATAGTTCGCTTGCTATTTGTATTAACCAGTTAAGCCCTGAGCCTGTTTTTCAGGTTTCAGGCTCGAAAATGCCACTAACACAACAAATGATATATCTTCACTTCTAAAAGGAGTAAATTAATAATTATTTTTCTCAAAGCAAGGTTACATCTGTGAGTTGGATGTAGAAGTGTCAGAATCAATATAGATGTTTTTATTTTAAAGTAAATTCAGATGGAACATAGTAAAAACATGTAAATTCTAATGTCCACCTACAAAAAAAACTTTACTTATCGTGAAAACCACCCTTGCATGATGGGTTAGTAGACTAAAAGCTTTAGGAATCCAAACTATAACATATAATAAGTACCCTGTATCAAGATTGATGCAAAACAAGTGAAATTTGACCTTTTTAGAGAGATTTAGAAAAATAAAGTCTAAGCGGACTCACCTCTGGGTAATTTGGGAACCATCGGTTCCATTTGAACTTTTTCACTGTAAAAATCATTTTATTACTTTGAATTATCACTATAGGTATTCATTCTATCCAAATACAACTGTTGTGAAAAAAATTAAAAATAAATAAATAAATAAATAAAATAAAACATAGGCCTACTCTTACAGTGAGCCTCTGAATTAGCCCCGAGCGAAAAATGCTAACCTATTACAGCACCGAAAATCACTCCTCGCTCCCTTATAACTTATCCTAGCTGCACATCCAACACATTGTTTATGATCGCAAGGAGACACAGAATCTAACGGTGCCCACCTGAACAGCCCAACACTGAAAGATACAAACTCGCGACGTTATCAACAAAAACGTACATCAAAACAAATGGCGCTAGCGCTAATGCGCTAGGCTAACAATGACTTACCTTCCTCGTTGTCTGGTCTAAACTGGTCTTCAATGGCATTAAAACGATAAAAACGATGATGTAGTTAATCCATAGATTAATATCCAATGGGGTTTGCGGAAGTTTATGAAGAGAATTATGCAGAAGATGTGATGCAGCATATTTTTGGTATATTCATTTTAATCTCACCAATATATAAGAGGTGTATTGCATCATGTTATCCCTAAATATATGTGTGGGTATATACATTCCTGTGTATTAATAGTTGAAGGAACAAAATACATTTTTCCTCTTAAATATAGAGAGGTTTTTTATAGATTCCTGAAACAATGTTCCCTTTTTCTTTAAAGTAGATTAGCGCAATAGTCTTTTTCTTTCACTTATACCCTTTTCATCAAAAGGGTGCTTTAGGCTATTTTTGAGGGGTAAAATGCAGAATTACTTGTGAGTTCTGTTTTGAGTGAAAAGATTACCCTTTTGAGTGTTTTTCTTGGTTAACCATTAGATATAGTGGCTAAATTCGTTCTAAGTTAATTATGCGCATCCTGCAGGCCTTGAGAATTTAGTCACACAGTTAAGAGAGACAATGGTCCTTTTAGACTAAGGGTGAGCTTACTTCGGGTGAATAAAAGTTCAGAGATGATTGGGGGGGTATGAAGACAGTTAGGCTTGTTGGTGAGCTAGTTCTGAGGATGTCATGGGATAGTGACTGTTTTATTCCTAACAAGTATGGCTTTCATAAAGAAACACATGACTTGGGTGATAAGATGTGTTTTGTTGTAAAATGGGCCCGTTTGGTTTTCTGCTGGCCAGCGCTGGGTCACTGTGACAAAGCATATTTTGCGTCTGCCAATGAGAGGACCTGAAAAGATGACCAGCTGACCTCACCCCTTCCTTCTGTCTTCTGGTATATATTCTGTTGATTCCTGAGTTCGGCCTCTCTTCACATGCTGTCAGGACCGGAAGGATCTCCGCAGCACGCGAACCAGGGCAGAAGTGGCCGGCTACTTCTTAAAACATTACAATATGAT